ATTTATTTGAATCAAAAACTGCTTTGTTTTGATGCAAATAAATGTTGTATTTGAACTAAATAATTAATTGTTTAACGCAATTAAAGCAATATTAGTCTCAATTAAAAGAATTAATTATGACGAATGATTGAATATTTGATACAAATAAATAATAATTAATTTTCAAATTAAAAATTATTTTTGTAAAAAATTTAAAAATTTTATGAACATATAATTTAAAGCAAAAAATTTAGAATGAGTCATTAGAAATAAGTGTTAATTTTTCTTTATAGAAATATTAAATATTTTAGATAATATTCTCTTTTAATTTAACAAATTTTGTAAATCTGATGCACTTGACTACAATGTTATGCTTGTGTTGGAATCTGCACTGGTGTATCGCGCTTTTATTACAGTTATAAATTTATCTACTGTTTCTTATGGAAAAACGGCTGAGTTTGTCCTTCTGTTGCTAAGAGAATTGGTTATACAGCACAGGTGTCGAGGACGAGATGTGCCATAAAGCTCGTTTCCGATGCAAGAAAGTACGATGCGTATATGTTTGCTAGGATTTATGGCGGTCAGTTTATTGAAATGGCTTGTCGAAATGGAATCCCTTAACTTAATTTTTCTCAGAGTCTTTCTGTGCGAACGTATGTGCAATATATAATCCGATATCCGTGCAACGCATTACATGTGGCTGGCAACATTGTCTTATCTTTATACGTATATATGTGAACGTCCCTCTCGTTTCAAGATTTCTCCAATGTTGTGTCCAACTAGATCTTTTAATATTCTATTTAATATCAGGAAACTATGGTCCCTCGACTTCTCCTGCGTCTCTATATAAATCAAATGAGAGATATTGGTCGTTTTTGCCGGCGAGGGCGAACCACCGTGACAGGGCTCCGCACCATAATTGTTTTTACGGATTATAAATTTCGGTTTTTACCCCTCTATCCATTCTTTCTACAGCCACCTTCGATCGGGAAATGAAACTATATCATACAAAGTGACAAAAAGTTGTGCAAAAATCATTGGACATAGAGTTACAGTTTAGACCCTTTTAAAGAATATTTATGAAATAAATTTTAAAATACAAAAACCTTTGATCTGTCTAATCTATAGATTTTAACCCCTCTTAACACTGACCCGTGTGGAAATTTTCAAAGTCGCCCACATTAAGATTAAACTTCAATCTGGGCCCAACTTGCTTCCAAAAGTTTGAAAAACGAAGAAATAAAATAATTTAATTAAGGGGGGTAAGGTCTAAACGGTGAAAAAAGCATGTTTTTAAGAATTTTTTTTTGTCGATACGCAGAAAGTTAATTTAGTTTATCGCTATGCATATATTGCAACATTTGAACAATATTTCTATAAATTTTAATTTAAAAAAATAATAAGAATTGAGTGAGATAATGAGATTTTTCTCAAACGCCTCCAAAAAAATTGACTTGCGGTGTACACTCTAACTCGCAATAGAATCATCTAAAACAAAAAAATCAAAGTGCATTTGTTAAAGAAGATGTTTTTTAGGTAACGCTGGGAGTGATTTTTTGTAGCAATTAAAAACCAAAAAGTCGATTTTCGCTATAAAAAAATCGATTAATTTGTTATTGTAAAATTGGTAATTTAAAGAAAAGCTCCCAGCGTTACCTCAAAAAACATCTCCTTTGACAAATGAACTTTGACTTTTTTGATTTGGATGATTCTGTTGCGAGTTAGAGTGTACACCGCGAAATTTTTGTAGGCGCTTGAGGAAAATCTCATTATCTCTCTTAATTCTTAATATTTTTTAATTAAAATTTAGAGAAATATTGTTCAAATGTTACAATATTATATGCAAAGCGATAAAATAAATTAACTTTTTGCGTATCCCAAAAAAAATTCTTAAAAACATGCTTTTTTCACAGTTAAAACCTTACCCCCTCTTAATTTAATTATTATTTAACGTGTACTTGAGCAGAGTATGGAATCCTATGGATAGTAATAATTCTAATTTTATATTAAAAATTACTATTTATTGTAAAATGTACTTCGCATAAAGTAAATATTACTATTTCTGGTAGTAAAAATTACTAATAGTAATTATTACATTAGTCACTTTTAAAAATTGCTTTAAGAATTTTAATTTTTACATCGTCATTGTAAATTTTATTAAATTTTGTATTACTTTTTACATTCGATATATTGTAAATATTACTCGTAGAATTTCTAATAATTATTACTCGAAAAATAAAGATTACTTCTGCAAGAAACAACTTTTACTATTGCAGGGCGAACTTTTTACTCGAAAAAGTAGTAATCAGTACCAGTAATACAATAGACCTGTGTGTGTGATGACGTTACTACTGTCATGCACAGCGATCGTAGCCTGACTTCTAAGTCATTAAGATTATAATACTATACCTATTCCAAAGTTTTATAGTTATATTAAAATGTGCAATTCTATTATATATTATATATTATATATATTATATATTATATATTATATATATATTATTCTATATATATTTCTTTGTATAAAATTATTTATAACATTTATTTAAATAATTCTTTTTTATTTTGTACAGAATCAGAATAAGGAATCTAAGAATAATAATCTAATAATTTAATAATTAAATTAAGTAATTTTAAATTAATAATACTGTCGTTTATTATTATTATTATTATTATTATTATTATTATTATTATTATTATTATTATTATTCCCCCCGATGGTTGGCACCTTGCCGCGGTGGGTGGGCTTTAAGGCAAACTGAAGGAGCTTTCCTTCCCCTTTTTTGTCGCAGCAAAGCTTTACCGGTTTTCCTCTATCTAAGATCAACCACTGACATGGAGAACTGATGCAATATTTTCATAGAAAAAGGGGAATAAGTGGTGAACTGTTTAGGGCTCATTCCTCTCTGCAGCTGATCGGAATCTCGTCTGCTCCTCTGCTCCTTGCTCCTGCAGTTCTTAGTACCGATGAGGATTGACTTGCTAATCTGTGCGAAAAATCCTGTGTTTTAACACTCGATTTCCAAACGGAGGCAGTGACCACTTGCGCGGGCTAAAACCCGTTGTCCTTGTGGTTCCAGCAACCCTAAGAAGGAATGTTCGTTTGGTCGTTCTTCCAGACTGGGGAAGCTGGTCTTCCAACTCTGCGAAAGGGACTGTTGGACTCTCGGAGTGGTGGAGCGCCGGGTCTTCGTTCTGCGGTCGATGGGAATGGTGCACTGTTCAGATTCCACCCTGATAAGTTACTCCAAAAGACATAATACATAGACACCTTTTCACACGCGCATGTAAGTTACACACACCGACACAAAACATGCACGGACCTCCGAGCACCCTGCAAAAAGCAGTACATTACGGAGGTTTCACAGCACACATAATTCACAAACAATATCACATACTTACATGCTAAGGGAAGGAACCCCGAAAACAAATACAAAATGAAAATCTAAATATGGAAAAGTCACTTAATGATAGTCACTTAATAAAGTTACCCAACAGGGGAAGTCGGAAGCCCCAGTGGCGGCGGCTCAGGGTGTGCAAGCAGGCCCGGAGGTGTCGAGATCCAATTACTGCAGTGTTTCATCGGTGGTTGACTTGGCCGATGATTCATTAAGGACTACAAGTGCTAGTTTGAAGTTGGGGGAGGAAGTGATGGAGATAGAAAGTGTAGTTCCCTCTGTCCCCATCATTGGAAAGGAAAGAGAGAACCTGGAGACACAGACTGCTTCGCCGTCGGCTAAGGAATGGCAAGTCGTCCTTGGACTGATGGAGAAGAATTCTGTGGTGGTTGAGCATCTCATGAAGTCACTAAAAATTGTGAATGAAGGGATGCTCAAAAACAACTCCAGGGAGGTTAAAATATGTGCCAGGGAGGCATACCAGCTTGCTGAAAGTCTCAGAAGCATCATAAAAGACATGAAAGAGGAGGGGGTCTGCGTTCTTCAAAAGATAGAGAAGGTGGATTCCCTCACTCAGAAACGAGTTCGGGGCCGTCAGGGTGTATCAACCTTGGTGACTCCGAATTCGGAAAGAAAATCAAAAAAGAGAGATGCCTCTGGGACACCACTAGAGAAAAATGAAAAAAAGAAGGGCAAAACAGACGAGCTAGCCTTAGAGGAGAGTGAGTCTGTTGCCGAAAAAGAACAAATTTTGAGCTCGGCCCAGGAAAGCGAAGCCTGGAAAGAGGTCAAGAAAAAAAAAAGAAAAAAGTTATAGAAAATACGGGGGAGCCGAACAATGAGATGAGTCGACCCCTCGTAAAAAGAAAGAAAGGATAACGGATGCTATCGTGATATCCACGGAAGATCCGGATATAATGGCAAAAATGAAAGCGGCGGTTAGGCCTGCGGATACGGAGACGGAGATACTGTCGATCCGGAGAACCAGGAAGAATGATCTCCTTCTGGTTCTCAAGAAGGGACAGGGCGTCTCGGGTTTCAGCAGTGCCTTGACCGCTGCGCTTCGGGGCAAAGCAGAAGTAAGAACTGTGGTTTCAATGAGGTCGATAGAAATTAGAGACCTCGACGAGACCATAGTTAAGGAAGAAGTGGTAGAGGCAGTCCGGGGTGTACTGGGCAAACCAGATTTAGAAGTGCCGTGTCAATTATTCGGTCGGTATGGGGGTATAAAGATGGTTATCCTGCGACTTCCGGAAACAGAAGCGGGGTCGCTGTTGAAGGTAGGGCGAGTTAAAATCGGGTGGGTCAGCTGCAGAGTCCATACCAGAGTGGAAGTGGAGAGGTGTTTTCGATGCCTCTGTTACGGCCATCTGGCTGGAGGATGCAGCGGCCCGGACCGAAAGGCGGCTTGCTGGAAATGTGGCGGTCTCGACCACAGGAGGGGTCAGTGCAAAGGGGAAGCCCGATGCACTGACTGCTCCGATCGTGGATTGGAAGACACGAAGCACTCTCCAGGGAGCAAAGCCTGCCCGGTGTATTGGAAGATGCTGACGGATTTAAAGTCCAGAGCTTAGGATTCTCCAGGTCAATCTTAGGAAGGGAAAAGTCGCGCAAGATCTCTTGATGCAGACTGCCAGAGAGAGGGGAACTGATATACTACTTTTCAGTGAGCAGTATAGGAAGTCGGAACACTCTGTCTGGTTTGAGGATGCATCAAGGAGATCTGGTATACAAGTATGTAACCCGGACATCACCATTGGTGATTTTCTGGAGACCGACAAGGGGTTCGTTTGGGTGGAGTTGGCGGGGGTACGCGTCTACAGCTGCTACTTCTCTCCGAACGATCCCTTTAAAAAGTTCGACTCTGAGGTTCAGGCTCTTGAAGAAAGCATTCAAGCTTTCGGTGGGGATGTCCTCATTGCGGGAGACTTTAATAGTAAGTCGCCGGAATGGGGAGAGACTCGTCTAGACAGGAGGGGAACCTTAGTGTCGGACATGGTCGCAGCGAATGATTTGGTGGTGGTGAACCGGGGACGAGAGTTCACGTTCAGACGCGGGGTATCAGGGTCTATCATTGATTTGACAATTGCGACGCCCCGCGTGGCCCGTAGAATTGTGCGGTGGGAGGTGCTGGATGAAACAACTATGAGCGATCACCAGTACATAGAGTTCATAGTCGCTGAGGGAAATTTAGAAGGGAACAGCAGGCCTTATGTTTGCCGTAAAAAACCCTCTTGGAATCTCAGACGACTGAATCGGGCGAAGTTGTCGGAGTCTTTAGCCGAGTCTCGAGCTATACACGAGCTGGGCTGGATAACGAAGCCAACTTCGGTGGGTGATAAAGTGCGTGAGGCGAGGCGAGTAATCATTGCAGCGTGCAACTACTTAATGCCTCGCCGGCAACAAAAAAGAACTAGGAAGGGAGCTCTGTACTGGTGGAACGACGAACTAGCTCGCTTGAGGAGAGAATGCCATGCAGCAAGAAGGAAATATACCCAATCTAAGGGAGACCTTCTGCTGCAAGAAGAGTGGCAAGAAGCTAGGCACAGTGGCTAGGAATGGCACAGCGCCAGGCAGCGACGGAATACCCAACGAGATCCTCAAAGAGGTTGTCGCTGTGTACCCAGAGCTTCTCCTCGATGTCTTTAATACATGTCTCGAGAGTGGTGAGTTTTTCAGTGACTGGAAAACGCAGAGGTTGGTCCTCCTGAGAAAAGGGGATAAACCTCTAGATAAGGTCTCATCGTTTAGACCAATCTGCTTATTGGACACGATGGGTAAACTTCTAGAGGGAATAATTCTGGAGCGACTTCAGAGAATCCTGGTAGGCGAAAATAGCCTATCGGAAAATCAATTCGGTTTTAGGAAAGGGCGGTCGACAGTAGACGCGATCCTAGCGGTTCTCGAGAAGGCGAAAAAAGTCAAAGAGGGACGGAAGAAGGGATTTTGCGCACTCGTTTCGATAGACATCCGTAACGCGTTTAATTCCGCGAAATGGGATAACTGTATGGAGGCAATGAGATGTAAAGGGGTGCCAACGTATCTGTTGCGAATGATGGACAACTATCTTAGCGACAGATGGGTTGTTTACGAGAGCGATGCATGTCATATTAAAGAGAAAATGACATGCGGAGCTCCCCAAGGATCAAAGGTGGGTTGGCGACCGAGAGCGCATAGAAAAATTCAAAGCGGAAATCCGCAAAGAATCTAGAAACAGACTCGTTCTGAGATGGCAGGAGAGATGGGATTGGGAAACCAAAGGGCGATGGACTCATCGCCTGATTCCCCACCTCGCCACATGGTTAGATAGACAACACGGTGAAGTAAGCTACTACCTTACACAAGCGATGTCGGGTCATGGTTGTTTCAGACAGTACTTCTATCGGTTTAAAATAGAAGAAGACGCGAAATGTGTGTACTGCAACGGTTCGGGTGACGACGAAGCAGAACACACTGATGACGCGGAGCATACGCTTTTTTCCTGCGGGCACTGGCGTGAACTCAGGGAAGCCATGTTTTCGGCCATGGGCACTGAAGTCACGGTCGAGAATATGGTTCAAACTATGTTACAGAGTGCAGACTCATGGCGCGAGATAGAGTCCTTTGTTATCAAAGTCATGCAGACAAAGGAAAAGGACAGAAGGATGTCACAACACCATCGGAGAATTCCTGCAGCTCGGCTGGGCGCTCGCGGAAGACGGAGGAGACCTTAACCGGACCTCCTCCCTCTTCCGCTAGCGCTTAGTTAAGGATTTCAGATCTGGAAGTAGGTAAAGAGACCTCCACTGGCGATGTTAAGCTTGACGGCAGTTCCGCCAGGGGAGATATGTCTCGAAAGGGAGTGGTTTTTAGTGGGTCGGCCAGAACAAGAGCGGTCATCCCCACATAACCTAGGAGTACGGGCTCCAGGTATCTGACTTGGAAGTAGGCCTCCAGGGTTATAGCAGATTTTCCACTTCCCACGCAAAAAAAAAAATTATTATTATTATTATTATTATTATTATTATTACTATCGCATTATAATTATTAATGTTCATATTTTAATTCAGTAACTTATCTAAATAAATAAAATGTATAATTCACTTTATCAAAACTCATGAAGCACGTAATATCACAGTAACATTATAGTAATATTACCCGTCAATATTACAGTAATATTACAGAAACATTACAGTAATATTATTGTAATATTATAGTAAAATTACAGTAATGTTACAGTAAATTTTTTAGAGAAAAATTAATTTCAAATTACACGCGCATGTAAAGTAAATGAAAATGGCTGTAAAATACATATCTAATGAATAAACAAGAAAATTTTTTCTTATTTTATCATTAAAAAATAAACATTTTTGCAATTTTTTCATAAGTGTGTAATATTACCACATAATATTACTGTAATATTGATGGGTAATATTACCATCAGGCGGACATTTTAATATGACCATAATATTAAAGTAATTTTACCGGGTAATATTGCTATAATGTTACGTGCTACATGCGAGAGGGATATATGCGGGTAACCGAAATTTTTCTCCATAGTGATTGCGTAGCCGAGAGGCTTAGTGTAAATGCGTGCGATTTTAGGTTGCGTTAGATATAAGTTAGGTACGGTTCGAATCTGTATAGATATTAAGATTTTTCAATATGTTAAGTTGTTAGTTGTAAGTATGAATATGATAAAAGAGTGAAGCTTATGAATAATGAATAATAACACAGGCACACAAAAAAAAAAAGTGTCGTGGCCGAGACACTACAGTAGTATATTCCCATGTATTTTTGGCCGCTGAATCCGAATCTGAAGTCCGAATGCTCAAATTGGTTCTTTTTTTTGAGTTATACTCAAAAAACGACTCAAAACACGAATTTGAACCAAAAAAATTAAAAAAATTTTTTGTGACATGACAATAACATATTTCCATGTATTTTTTCCCGCTGAATCCGGATTCGAAGTCAGAATTGACAGATGTGCTCAAAATTATGAGCTTAACTCAAAAAACGACTCAAAAAACCGAATTAAAATGACGAAAATGAAAAATTTTTTCTGTGACATTGCAAAAGTGTATTCCTATGTATTTTTGCATGCTGAATCCGAATTCGAAGTCAAAATTGACAGATTTGCTCAAAATTTTGAGATAAACTCAAAAAACCACTCAAAAAAAGACTCAAAAAACCGAATTAAGATGAAAAAAATTTTTTATGACACTACACTACTATATTCCCATGTACTTTTTCCCGCTGAATCCGAATTCGCAGTCAGAATTGCCAGATTTGCTCAAAATTTTGAGATAAGCTCAAAGAACTGATAAAAAAAGCGATTTAAAATAAAGAAATGGAAATTTTTTGCTATGACACTACATTACAGTATTTCCATATCGGATCTCGCATTTAAAGTCAGAATTGACAGATTTCTGACTGATTTGCTCAAAATTTTAAGATATACTCAAAAAACTGATAAAAATGTAATTTAATATGAATAAAGGAAATTTTTTGCTATGACACTACACTAGTGTATTCCCATGTATTTTTTCACTGTGATTCCAAAGTCAGAATTTTCAAAGTGGCTCAAAATTTTGGATTTCATTAAAAGTGCTCAAAAACATGCATGCTTGTACCTGTAACCAGGGTTAGAGTTCTAAAAAATTTTATGTCATTCTGATAATTCTAACTTCGAATTTGTATTCAGCGTATATAAAATTCATGAGAATACACTACCGAATACCAAAAAAATGAACTCTTTTGCATTAAATTAAATTTTGAGCATTTTTGGATTTAACTTAAAATTTTGAGCCAATTTAATAATTTTAACTTTGAATTTAGAAGCAGATGTAAAAACATGAGAATATACTAATGTAGTGTACTAACAAGAAAAGTAGAGTTTCTTGACTTTAATTTTTGTAACTTAACAGATTTTCTTGTGTGTCTCAAAATTTTGAGCCATTAGAATAATTCTGACTTCAAATGCGAGATCCGAGTGTAAAAATATATGGAAATACTGTAATGTAGTGTCATAGCAAAAAATTGCCATTTCTTTATTTTAAATCGCTTTTTTTATCAGTTCTTTGAGCTTATCTCAAAATTTTGAACAAATCTGTCAATTCTGACTGCGAATACGGATTCAGCGGGAAAAAGTACATGGGAATATAGTAGTGTAGTGTCATAAAAAATTTTTTCATCTTAATTCGGATTTTTGAGTCTTTTTTGAGTGGTTTTTTGAGTTTATCTCAAAATTTTGAGAAAATCTGTCAATTTTGACTTCGAATTTGGATTCAGCATGAAAAAATACATAGGAATATACTTTTGCAGTGTCACAGAAAAAATTTTTCATTTTCGTCATTTTAATTCGGTTTTTTGAGTCGTTTTTTGAGTTTAGCTCAAAATTTTGAGCACATCTGTCAATTCTGACTTCGAATCCGGATTTAGCGGGAAAAAATACATGGAAATATGCTATTGTCATGTCTCACAAAAAAAATTTTTAATTTTTTTGGTTCAAATTCGTGTTTTGAGTCGTTTTTTGAGTATAACTCAAAAAAAAGAACCAATTTGAGCATTCGGACTTCAGATTCGGATTCAGCGGCCAAAAATACATGGGAATATACTACTGTAGTGTCTCGGCCACGAAACTTTTTTTTTTTGTGTGCCTGTGTAATACACATGTACAGTGTGAGGCGCGTCATTATGTGGGTACCGGATTACAACTTTTTCGAGTAAAAATTTTTACGAAATAGTAATAATTGCTCTGATTCGTAATAAAAGTTGCTTCGCTCAGAGTATTAATTTCTCGGGACATTTTAAATATTACTCGGCTTTTAATAAAATTTAGATTCCTTGAAGTAAAGTATACTTTTTTAAAAAAGTAAAACTTGTTTGAAAACGAAGCAAAAGTTACTATTTCTTGATCAGCTTCAAAATTACTACTTGAAAGTAGTAATTTTTCATCGAAAATAGTATAATTATTACTACCCAAGCAGCACGTAAGCTTATCTTGACATCACTGTAATATTACATTGGAGTTTCGTCATATTACACTGTAATATTAACGTAATATTAAAGTAATATTTACATAAATAAGAATAATTTTATAATTTAGAAAAAATATTTCACAAATACTCTTACTGCCGGGCAGTAAGCTTACTTCCTAGGCAAATAGACAAATCTGAACGATTTTGTCGTGTATTCGTCTAATTGCCGGCAGTAAGCTTATTGCCTAGGAATTAAGCTTAATGCCGGATTCTTCTAGTTGCCTACGACATATATATAACTTAAAAAAAACTTACAAAGATTATATACCGTCGAGAATATTAATACACTACAAGTAAGTTTGGCTCAGAGGTAAGACTCATGATTACTATGCACATGGTTCAGGGTTCGAGTACAGCTTTGTGAAATGTTTTTTTTCTAAATTATGAAATTATTCTAATTTTATCTGAATATTACCTTAACATTACGTTAATATTACAGTGTAATATTACCTTAATATTACCAGGTAATATTCTGTTAATATAACAATGTAATATTACCTCCAGGCGGACATTTTGATATCCCAATAAGATCACTGTAATATTACAGTGTAATATGACGAATCTCCAATGTAAAATATTACATTACTGTAATAACAGTAATGTCAAGATGAGCTTACGTGCTGCTTGGGTATTTATTTTTCTCTGTGTACCGAAACTGAAATTTAATTAGATTTCCTGTTATAAATCAATAAAAAATTTAAGAAAAATCAAACTTTTATTAATTATATTAGTACTTAAATAATATATACCATAAATAAAAAAATGTGTGTGAAGTATATAGTTTTCAATTGATAGAACTAAGTTAATTGATAATAATTTAGTTGTGTTTTGAGTTTGACGTTATAACACTGTGTGACAGTAAAATTGCACTTCAAATCGGACCTATCCTAACTTGTTCGTCTTGAAAAACTGAAAAAATTAGTATGTTTGAAATTTCCCAAACACCCCCAAAATTTAATTTTAGGGACAAAAAACCGTTTTTTGTGTATTCATGTAAAGAATTACTCGTAACTTTCGTGACTTTCAACCGATTTTCAAAATTGTTCTTTTGTTTGAAAGGGGAAAAGCACACCTTTTTAACCATGTATTGATCGTTTAGTCAAAATAAAAATTAACAAAACCGTGTGTTTTCTATACAATCAAGCCTAGAAAAATTTGATTTAATTTTTAAATAGTATTCTTGATCGTATGGCTTTAAAAAATAGTTCACAGAAAAAAGACACATTATTAATTAACAGAAACTTGGAACGTTTATTAATAACAAAATATAATTTACAAAAGGAAGTCACTCCACAATTTATTGTCTTTTCGATTAATATTATAACTTTTAATTTATTTCACATTAAAATTCTCGCATAAATGCTCGTCTTTATTGTTCTCCCTCGTGTCAAGTGCTGTCTTAATAATTATTTTCTATAATTTTCGTTCGTTTACAATCGAACCTTTTCGACTAATTTCGTCACGTCAATTCATACATATTGTACACTTAACATTATGTCCGCCTTGGACGGGGCACGTTCAACATTCATATTGTTCTATAGGAAGTGATGAAACCATTTTAACTCCACAAGTGTATATTTCGTTCTGCGTCTTTACTTTAATTACCCTGACGATTCCATCGTCACCTGGATGTACTTGGATCACTCTTCCCAAACTCCATCGTAGAGGGGGTAAATTGTCATCCCTAAAAACTA